CAGATTCCGACAGATTTTGATGTGGCCCTATCGTGCGTTGAGTATTCAGATTCCGACGATTCGAAAGATTGTCCTTTGGCCCATGTGGTGTTCAGACCATGGCCAGTTACGTGTTTCCTGAAGCAGAGTTACTTGATTAAGTTTCTCTTTCCCTTGGTGGGATGTTCAAGATGTTCATTATGTTCGTTTTCTTCGGAGATTCTATCCCAATCAGAGTTTGCAGTTTATTTCTGCGGTTGGCAAATTTCCGGGTTCTTTTGGTATTCAACCGCCTTTTACCTTGATTGATTGAAATTCGTTCGCTTTTCACTCATTCAGGTCCAAGTCGCTTGAATAGGGGCAGCTGTTGCACCCCAAAATTTGCCCAACCTTTTCCTTCTTGTTTTTGCATTAGCATAACATCATCATAGCATTATCATAGCACTGCATTAGCATTTATGCAGGGGATCAAGTGTGATATACATCAAGAGAGGCCTATCTAGAGGTTTTATTCGAGCTTGAGGAATCACTAAAGTCACCAGGAAGTGGTTCATGCCCTTGAGAAGTTCAGACGCTTGTGTGGGGTTCATCCCCTGACTTAGAGGCCAACTGAAGATTATCAATGAGTTGGGAAACTATGATTACAGGTCAAGTTCAATACTTTACATAACTCAAATGGACTTTTTTCCAACATGAAAGTTGCTCCGAATGGCGTCATTTGGTCAACCAAATCTCAAGGTTTTAATGGGCTAGCTCATGGTTGAAGATTGATAAAAGTGATTTTGGTGAAAACATGTGAAAAGGCCTAGTTTGGTATTTTGTCAAAATTTAATCAAACAAGTCCATATTTGTACTTATTTTGAGTGGAAACTTCATTTTAAGAATATTGGCATTATTACATTTTTCATTTGAAGCTTTTATCATGGCCCATTTCAAGCTTTCTTCATTCTTAAGCAACACTTTGAACCTAAGCCCTTAAGATTGAAATAAGGGCTAATTTTGGACCATTGATCATTCTTACAATGCAACATATATAAACATTTCAAGCCAAGGCAAAAGAGGGATTCATGATCATTTTTTCTCACATTCTTCACCACTTTCCATTTTCACCATAATCCAAAAAATCTCAAAAATCAATATCATTTTCTTCTCATTTTTTGTGCTTCTTTCCATCACAAATCCCTTCTACATCATTCATACAGTGAATTCCACCATTGTTTGGCCATAATTGGTGCAAAGAATAGCTTGTAGTAATTGAAAAAAGTGGTGATCAAGTCAATTTCGAATTTGCTTTTTTTACCTCATTTCAGTCCAATTCTTCCATCCCAACACCTCCAGCAAGGTTTATTGAACATTTCCACATAGTTTCTTAAAAGTTTCAGTGGATATTTGGAGCTCCATAGTGCAAGAAATAGAGGTATACAACTTTCAAATTATCTCATCATTCATGAGTCTTTATGTTGCCATTGTTGTATCTTTAGAATCCCCTTAAGGCATAGATCGTTTCTGGTATCAATTGGGATGTTTTCATGGCAATTTCATGTTCTTGACATTCTTGGATTCATACACGGGTTTTGAGCTAGAGTGCATATAAATGGAAAATAATGGTATATTTGGATTCCCCATAAAAAACTACACAATTTTCATTCAAGAATCGTTGGATTTGGTTGAGTATTTAGTGAGATAGGTTCACTTGAAGTTTTCCGGCCATTGTCATTTCCGGCCGTCGTTTTCGCGTGCACGTTGCTGTCCAGGAAAAGCTCAAACGAGGAAGACGACCACAAACCGTCGGATCGCGCCAAGACCTTTGACCGAACTTCTCATCACGCGGCCAGACTTGCTCCACGTACGCAGCCCAGTCAGCTTTCATTAAAATACATGGTGTGCCACCTCATCTTGAGGGAGCCCCATTACCCCTGTTCGATTCCTGGCCATGCCACTTTTATTTATTCTCACTTATTTCACTTGTTTTCCTATTATTTTCATGTTCTTATCTTTTTCCTTTTTTCTTTTCTTTTTTACATGCTTATTCAAATAATCATTAAAAATAGCAAAATTAATCTTTTTGATCCCCATTTTTTTGTGCTGAATCTTTGAGATGTCTAGAATTTTATAGAATTGGAATTATAATTTTATCATGTTCTGACATTTTCTTTAGATTTTTTACATTTTTTGTGTCGTGAAAATGCCAATACTTGTGTCATGATTTTGTTGATTTTCTTTAACCTATCAAAACAAAATTTAAATGCTTAACCTTTTGCAGGGTATTCATACACACATTGAGATACCTATATATATTTTTACTTGATTTTTAATGTACCATTTTGAAGTGTTTTGAAGGTCTTTCTTTACCATGCGCTAGTTTGGCTTCTTTTTTGGTACACTTGACATAGTTTCAAGTTGGTTGACTAGTTCCTTTGGGATATTTTGACTATACTTCTCACCCCTGGTTTGTGACATGTGGTAGGGAATTGGAGATTTTATTTGGAATTTTTTGATACCATTTACTATTTTTCTTATATTTTTGTAATTGGACTCGTAATATGGACTTTCAAGCAGACATTGGTTTTATTTCGGCTGCAACGGCCTCGAATTGTTTGTGTGATGAGCGTTATGGTTCCTATTTCTTATTGTATACATTGTATAGGACTTGTAGATCATTGGATGGCTGTTTTTATCATACATAACTTGCCCATTAGGTACCATACTTTCATGATAGTGCGTTATGATTCCAAATTGTGGTATACGTACGTCATTCGTGAGTTTTATTGCTTCGTATCTCTTTGTAATCGCTTGTGGCCAAGATTGTATGTTTAGAATAGGCCATTTCCATTCATTATGGGCTTGAGGTTGAGATGACTTGCTCCCTCACTTGCATTCCATCTTTACTGTTATGGATCTGCATTTCCTGCATGCTGTTTATTTCATCTGTTTTTCTGTTGCTTCCTTTGCCTTTCCCTTAGGATCTCCATTCTTCCTTGTTCAAGGTAGAATGTGATAGACACTAGGATTTTCAACCATGTATAACAATATTAGGGTAGTCTTCCCTTTTGTAAACTTTAACCATAAGACGAACATTGCATGCTAACATTTAGGGCTGTGTAGTTTCCTTTAGAGAGTCTCTTTCTCTTCCTTTCTTCAAACATTTGAAAATACTTAATAAAGGTTAACACGTGTTGTGCATTACGAGCCTTAAGCTACCTGAGAAAGATTTATGGGAAGGCTTCCCTCACATGACTTGAATGTTTAGTATGGTACCCTTTAGGTGACATGCGATGCATTCACTCTTAAGTCCAAGTCTTTAGCGCGACACGAGTTACAAACAAAACTCAAAACACTTCTTCTTAAAAGACATAAAAACAAACATTCAACTCCTTTTTGTCCTCTTGGACCTTTAATCATTAGAAACCATTTTCGTAATGAGAGTTTCGTTAACTCTCGGTTCTCCCGCAAACGGTAACGCCTAAGTCTCCAATGGTCGAGCTGCATACACCAAACTGCGAGAACCGTTTGTTAACCCTACTCGGGGTTAAAAACAACTTGAACCAAACTTGTGGTCTTGTTAGCCCGAACTACGTTTGCTCTGATCTTTCATGCCGTGTGAAAGTACGTAGGCACGAGATGCGATATCTCGGCGAGCAACCTTCCTCCCTTTTACCCGTAGTTAGGCGAACTACGTTGACTCTGATTTCTCGTTCTAGACGAGAATACGTAGGCATAAAGTGCGATACTTTGCCGAGTCACTTTTCTTTTCTTTTGTCCTTAAGCCTTTATCTATATAGTATTAATCAACCCTTTTAGATAAACAATTAAGCGTGGATCCCATCGAGTACGATGGACGTGAAGGGTGCTAATACCTTCCCCTTGCGTAACCGACTTTCGAATTCAGGACTTGGTTGCGATGACCATTCCTTTCCCCTCTTTCGTTAGGTTTTCTCTGAGCGTTTCCTTTCCCTCCTTTGGGATAAATAACGCACGGTGGCCACTCTTCTGTCATTGCCAGCGCCGATTTTCGCAGTAGCGACACAATACATTTAGCAAAGAATTCTGCATTTCATTCAAGAACAAAACACATTGGTCTTCGTTATCACTTCATTAGATCTCTTCTTAAGGATGAGGTACTAACATTGAGCAAGATACATGGAAATGAGAATCCAGCGGACATGTTAACAAAGGTGGTGGCAATTGATAAACTGAAGTTGTGCTCGTCTTCAGTTGGCCTGCTAGAATAATAGATTGATAAACGTAGTTTGACCAAGGTGTGAAGACCGATTGAAATCACTCTTCAAGTGGGAGATTGTTGGTCAAAATAAAAGAGAGATAAAGAGAGTATAATGGAGAAACAAGAAAAATAATAGTAAAAAGAAACAATAATGGTTATGAGAACTTTAAGGAGATGTTAAATAATAACCATTCATCTTTCTTGTTTTATTGGCTATAAAAGCCTTGTATCTTTCATTTGTAATCATTAGAACATAATTTCAATAAATTCTTTTAGTGTAATTGAGTTGTGAAATTTTCATGTGAGGAGAGGTTAATAAATTTATAGATTTCATTTTCATTAAATTTGTGTGCTTCCGCATTAATTTGTTCTTCCACAAATCTGATAATATAGGAAAATTTTGCATAATTTTCTAACAATTGCTTACTATATAAATAAGTCGCTTCACTTATATACAAGTATGATGATGAGTAATATAACTCTCCAATAATCTTTCTTCTTCTACATTCAATTTTTTTTTTTCATTTTCATATACTCAATTATATGCAATAGAATAAATTATTTATAATAAAATAAAATATTTGTTCCATTATGTTATATTAGACTCAATTCTATTTTATTCCGCTTGAATCCATCAATCCAAACAAAGTCTTAAGGGCAAGAATGCAAAAACCGGTAAACATAATCCGCTCGACCCGGTTTGGTCGGATACGATATGTAGGGTGTATATATAATTCGCATACACTGTTAGTCAGAGAGAGTGAGTGTTTGTAGAGAGAGAAAGAAGAAGAAAACGAAAATGGAGGGTGTAGCGACGGAGACGAGTAGTGCGAAGATGCATGGAGGTTACAATAAGCGATACAAACATTATAGCCATACCCTTGGATGTTCCATGAACTTCCACATATACTTCCCACCTTCTGATTCCACTGATTCCCACCACAAGTTCCCTGTTCTCTACTGGCTATCTGGTCTCACTTGCACCGATGAGAATTTCATTTTCAAATCCGGTGCTCAACGCGCCGCTTCCCAACACGGCGTTGCCTTGGTCGTTCCCGATACTTCTCCAAGTAATTTTTGTTCTCCCTTTTTCGTTAGCTATGTAATTTGTAATGCATGATCAATTGATTGATGATACTATAAAATTATTGCAACAGGAGGGTTGAATGTTGAAGGTGAAGCTGATTCCTGGGATTTTGGTGTAGGTATGTGTGTATGTATTTATTTCTTCCATTTCCTTTTCGCAATTCGATGTTGATTTTGGCATATTAAGATTGTTGGCCGAAATTCTGATATTTCAAGTGTCTCCTTTTACCCTAAAAATGATAGCCGCTGAAACTGAAAAAAAATTGATACTAATATTTCTATAGGTATATGTATGCGCTGTCAAAAAAGAAATTATGTATGTGTGCTAGTGACATGGACATATGCTTCACTTAAAAAAATATTAGCTGATAATATATTGGATGATTTAAGATGTGTATTCTATAAAATCTTCCCTATTCTTTTATTGTTGTTGTTGTGATTATTCTGTTCACTTAAAATCTTGTCAATTGTAATCTAGAGTCTAAGAGTCTTTTGAATATTGTAGGAATAGTTTGTAATCTCTGTTCTTTCCTTCAGTTCAGTAATAATACATGTTTTCAATATATCTAACACTAACTTCTCAATTTCATTTTTCTTGATATGAGGGTACACGTAGGGTAGGTTAAGGATTGATGCCTATTTTGTCAATAGCGCGCCATAGTGTAGTGAGGGTAGGATTCGGCGCGGCACTTTTGGTCTGCTAGTCGCAGTCAACAATAGCTGTTGTCGTGGCCGCTAACTGCGGCAAAATTGTGGCCCCAAACCGCTGTCGCGTCTGCTATTACAATTTTGGGGATAAATTCTTCAAATTCGTTTTCTTTTTAAACCGTTGTCTTTTCTTTAAGGGTATACATTGGATTACAAACCCTTTTACTTGTAGTGTTGTGTTCTTGCTCACAAACCGTTATTCTGTTCTTCTTCTTACTTTTAGTTTTGTTATGTTTTTCTTCTCATTTGAGATTTAATTGCACTATCCTTTTGGTTCCTTAACTATTAAGTAGAATGATCTCTTTAATTTTTTATATTTGAGAATTTATATTTACTTCGTACACTGATTTATAGTTTTCGAAAAAGTGTGGCTATTCACTATACCCCTATAACATTTTAGGGGGTCAGTGCTTTGGAATGCTGTCTGTGAGGTTAGCAATATAGACTGCTTCCCCTTCTTTTAGCATGATGGCATGATCATGTCTTCTCTCCATTGGGGGGCCTGGTTTTTACCGAAATACCTCTGCAAGTTCTACCAAAAGAATTTTGAAACAACCTGGAATTTCATTCTCAAATGCAGCTTCTACTTGGTGCAGCATGCAATCAATTTAGAACCCCTCCTCCACTGGTTCTTCCTCCTGTAGTTTAAAATTACGGCTTTGGCTGACACCCTCCCCTTTGAAGAGGTTAGGGTCTCCCTTCAACATATATCTTACCCCATCCTTACAAATTTCGAGGGTGAACTCTGAAATCTGTTATCATATAAGTCCCACACATCTTTCCAACCATTCATTCCCCAACCCACATCCTCTCCATATTGCCACGTCATATAATGTTTTGATTATTCTGTTTGCTCAAATATGTTCATTTGGAAAATAGTTTATCAATTTCATTTAATTAGTGAGCATGAATTCAACCATTTATTCTTATCCCACTCACCCATCTGGCATCTCAACCCAACCATTTTCCCTTCAACATACCATTTAATCCACACCCTCCCGTTTTCTCTTCTCAACAACTTTTATTCATCATCTTATATATTCAGTTTCAATTGGGTGAGTTTTAGTGCTACAGATTTTGGGGGGTCAAGAGTGCTACATCAATCTTCTTTACTCATTAGCTCATTAAGATTATTCCATGATCTAAAAAAAAAAGCTGAGTAATTGAAGGATTAACTTCACATCTGGTATCATGAGTATTGAATTTAACTTTAAGTACTGAACTTAAAAAGCTTAAGCTATTAGAGACTTGAGAGGAAATTGGATAGTATTGAAATTGTACATCTTAATTAAGCGCTTATGTTCTAAACACTTCTTCATAATTTGGTCAGTTCTTATAATGTATGTTGAAGATATTGGGTTTAGGTAGAGAGAAAGATGACACGGTAGTTTACTGTATAACTGATTGATAAATGAGACAAATACCATAACCTAGCATTCAGGTTGGTACCACAAAAGTGTTGAGAAAAATGATTTTGATATCCTACACTCCATCAAGCTGAAGTCTATTAAGCTTTAAGCTTGCTGTAAGTACAAAACCCACAAGCATAAAACTAGTTATTTATGTTACTTATCGAAATTGAATTGAACCATTCTGGCTGTTTGGACTGGAAAAACCCAAAACTGGTCCTTTAGCTGGCTCTGTAATACCTAAAATTGGTAAAAGCACTTAGGTTTATTGGTAAAACACCCTTTGAATGATATAATTGCTATAAGCCAACTCTTAAATATTTAAAGTCATGTCCGATCCTAAAAAAGATCTAGGTTAATATGTAGATTAAAGTTGTACTATCTATTGGGGAAAGGATATAATTTCACCTAAGATGGTTTGGTCATGTGGGAAAGCTACTACCAATAGAAGCAAAGAGAGTTACTCAAGTGGAAGGTAACTTGGTAGTTAGTTGTAGAAGGCCAAAAGATCTTTTAGAAACTATTAACAAATTTTGTGTACGCACTAAGATGGTTTTAATGTATATACACTAAATTTTGAATAGTCTCAGTTGTGTAGTATATAAACCTAAGATGGTTTTAGTGTATATACACTAAATTTTTTATCATATCAAATTTTAAATTATAGGAAAAAAATATTCATTCCTATTTGGAAGACATTGTTGTTTTGTGGAATTAATTTATCAGTTCTGGTCTAGAGTTACCTTTAGATGTGCAATATACATTTTCCTTTGCAGAAGATATCGTAATTGCATATTTACTTTCTGGAACAGGTGCGGGATTTTATCTCAACGCTACACAAGAGAAATGGAAGAACTGGCGCATGTATGATTATGTTGTCAAGGAATTGCCAAAGCTTCTAAGTGATAACTTTCCACAGCTTGACACATCAAAAGCTTCTATATTTGGCCATTCTATGGGTGGGCATGGAGCACTAACTATCTACCTGAAAAATCTGGATAAATATAAGGTAAGTCGAAAGGATGAACCAAAAAACTTTTCATATCAATATAGCCGAAAGCAGTACTTAGAAAATCCTCATCTTGGTTATGTCCTATAAACTACGGCTAGTATTGTTGTCGAGGTAACATATTTTTTGTTACTAATTGCTTTCCTTGACTAAGATATTGCACATCAACATATGTTTGCTCTACAAGCCGACTCTACAAGCTGACTGTCTTAGTATTTTTCATTTTTAGCAATCCCAATTGCACTTGAACAGTTGAGAAATATTCGGTGATTTATTTGGAGTAAGGTTTGTGGCTTCAAATATTTTTCAGGATATTTTGTATTCATGATGAGTATAAAGCTTACCTTTTATATTGAACCTTTCGGATCTAGTTGTTGGAAGTAAAGTTGTTAAAATCGCGATTTAAAACCTAAACTCTTAGAGTTTACATTTCTAGGTCAGCATTGTGTTAAATCGCAAGTAAAATCGTTTTAAAGTAAAATTGTATACTGAAACGATTTTACACGATTTAAATCTCTCTGAAATCGTGTAAAATCTTTGGATTTTACTCTTCGACTTGATTTTACTTTTTTTTTTCTTGAAATTTTAAAAAGCCTTGTCCAATAAAACTTCTTCCACTTTATTATTTTATTCACTTTAAATAGCCTTGTCCAATGCAAATTAATAACTTTTAATATAGCCTTGTCCAATGCAAATTAATAACTTTTATTATAGCCTTGTCCAATGCAAATAAAAAAGTTTTGAACTTGAACGTCACTTTACTTGTCACTTTACTTGTACGACGCTAAATCGGAACTTCAACAGAAATTCTATGAGCTTTCTTCTTTTTCTTTGTATATTGTGATGCTTTTGTGTCTTTGTGGTAAACTATGCTAGGGAGGGAGGGAGGG